CATGCGGTAGTTCCTTAAAATTGGAGGTGTACCAACTGTCAGGTTTCAAATCAGTCAATGGTTTATTGGGGTTTTGTTCCTCTAGAAGGTCAGTTAGGTTTTGTGCCAGATGGAAATCCTCAATGGTCAGTCCTAAGTCACTAGCTGTTTGTATATCTCTTTAGCGTGAATGATATTAAGGGTGAGTTTTCTACCAAACAAGTTGATGTCTTTGGTCCAATCAAAGATATTGCATTGTGGGGTTGGTACAAATGAAAGGCCTTTGCTAAGTAAGGAGATACCGTGTTTCTCCGAAAATAAGACCGGGTCTTATATTAATTTTAGTCACAAAAAACACACTAGGGCTTATTTTCAGGGTAGGGCTTATTTATTTACGTTACCAGTATGTACAGCTCTTTCTCTTTGCACTCATCTTGTCTGGGGATCAAAATACCATACTGTCTAATTAATCCACCCCTCCCCTTTAATAAATCCACCCCCTCTAATTAATCCACCACCTTTAATTAATCCACCCCCCTCTAATTAATCCAGCCCACCCTTTAATTAATCCACCCCCTTTAATTAATCCACCCCCTCTTTAATAAATCCACCCCCCTTTAATAAATCCACCCCCTTTAATTAATCCACCCCCCTTTAATTAATCCACCCCCCTTAATTCACCCCCTTTAATTAATCCACCCCCTTTAATCCACCCCCTCTAATTAATCCACCCCTTTAATTAATTCCACCAACCCTTTAATTAATTCACCCCCCCTCTAATTAATCCGGCCCACCCTTTAATTAATTCACCCCCTTTAATTAATTCACCCCCTCTAATTAATCCAGCCCACCCTTTAATTAATTCACCCCCCCTTTAATTCACCCCCTCTAATTAATCCAGCCCACCCTTTAATTAATTCACCACCCCTTTAATTAATTCACACCCTCTAATTAATCCAGCCCACCCTTTAATTAATTCACCACCCCTTTAATTAATTCACCCCCGTCTAATTAATCCAGCCCACCCTTTAATTAATTCACCACCCCTTTAATTAATTCACCCCCCTCTAATTAATCCAGCCCACCCTTCAATTAATTCACCACCCCTTTAATTAATTCACCCCCTCTAATTAATCCAGTCCACCCTTTAATTAATTCACCCCCCTTAATTAATCCAGCCCACCCTTTAATTAGTTCACCACCCCTTTAATTAATTCACCCCCTCTAATTAATCCAGCCCACCCTTTAATTAATTCAC